TTTAAAGCCAACGATATCTAATACATTTCATATATATAAAAAATAATATGCTTTTGTAAACATAACAGAATATATAAACTTTGACTTTGTAATGAAGGTAAATATGCAAATTTAATTACACCGACACATATACAGTGGATAGGCATGAATTGACAAATGAGAATAGAATTATTTCCCGAAAACCATTATCAAAATTTAGCACGAGATAAAGTGCATTCGTGATGAACAAAATGAATCACATATGTTTTTTGTAATTCATCAAATATATACTTGTGCACACACGCATACGCACACACGCGCGCATATACACACACATGTACACACAATGATAAAGCGTCTCTATTCTCCATATTCATACTGCGGTTTTGCGTTTATGTGATGTTCTATAATGGAGAATGTAACGTAGTGTTTCCTGTTTATTGAAAGTGTCTTGTTTCGGTGAAAAGAAAAGTCTCACTTCATTAATTCGATCAGCTGCTACTAGATGGTGTTGCTTCGAGCATTTGAGGCGTTTTCAATATGCAAATATCATTGTTCTGTTCAAATAAAGGCGGACTGCCGCCTTACCTTCATGGGTGTTGCCATTTCGATAAACAATTCAAAGAAATCACATTTAAAAAATATTCCATAAAAAGACAATAATTAATACTACACATTTTGCAACCAGTTATTAAAAATAAATAAATAAATAAATAGCTTATTTCGTTTTTACAAATAGACATTAATACATTATTACTGGCCATTTATATTCTACCAATCACGGTCTTTGTAACAAATAACCTAGGGTTTTCGCCTCATTCATAGAAATACTATTTACGCTGTTTACATTGAGGTGGTTGTCAGATGTACAAAAGCGGGACCCAGGATGTGTACTGAAATATAATTCCGCAACTGTACATATATATACATATATTTATATATATACTTTGTGTGTATGCATATATATGTATACAGATATATATTCATATATATACTTATATATACATATGTTCATAGTAATATATATATACATATACAGTCAGTGTATATATGTATATATTTATATATAAACATATAACGATATCTATGAACATATATTCAGTATATATATACATATATATACAGTATTTGTATATATATATATATATATATATATATATATATATATATATATATATTAACCATATATATATATATATATATATATATATATATATATATATATATATATATATATAGTTAATATATATATAATGTATATACAACATATATAGAATATACATATGTCTATACATACACAGTACACATACATATATATACATACACAGTACATATGCATATATATACATACATGTGTGTATATATATACATTGAAAAATAAAACAGCCGAAATCATTTCGGTTTATTATTCGTCTGAAGAGGAACTCGTGAAGGGTTCGAAACGTTACGATTCTGTAGCGGTTTGACTTTGCCTTTCCTGAAAGGAATAACCTGAGGGTCTAATCAGTCTACGGGTTTCCACTGACATCATTTTCAGCTTTTATAACAATCACTTTTGAATGCAAAACTTCTTGGCTTGAGGCAAACCAATGTAACTAACTGATGTATCAAAGATTGACATTTCCAATTCAATCAGTTTTATCCTGGCTCGGCGCTTAGTCCTGCCTCACCTGTAGAAGGCTGCTGTAAAGTACACCCGGTGAATGCGTGAACTCGTGGAAGTGCTCTTGGAAGACCAGGGTTACTATCAACAACTGGGGATTGATATCACGGAAAAATTAAGCTTTTAAATCTTTGTATTATTTTCTCTGACTGATATGACGAATTGGCAACCTAAAATTTGAAAACAACTTACTTTCGTGAAAGAAAAATAGAAACATCAAATCGACTTCAACATGATGAGGATGCGCTGTAAAAATTACAACAAGCGACTGTTTGAAATGCAATGTGCATTTGCAAGCATGAAGTGATAAGGATAACCCCACCACTGAAAATGACAGGCAAAGGCCATTTCTGACTCTTGGTCCCTACTCAACATTTACGAAAGGTTTCATCAGGTTATCCCACAGGCTGATCTAGATCATCCTTGATACACACACACACACACACACACACACACACACACACACACACACACACACACACACACACACACACACACACACATATATATATATATATATATATATATATATATATATATATACATATATACATATATACATATATACACAAGGACGGCCACCACCAGTCATTGTCTCTACTCATTCCCGTATATGGGCGAAAGAATAACAGGAGTTGCCCATGTTACAATCTCTATCTCTTCACGCAGCTGATGGACCCAAAGGAACGGCAAAGACCGATGTGGTTTGGCACTAACGACGTCGCAGGAGTTGCCAGAACGAGGTCGCAGGCGACGTCGAACTGCCTCAGGGACTCCGGTTCCCGATCTTCCTCAGGGTAGACTCCCGAAGACTTTTCATCTCACAGATGCCAAAGCAGTTGATTCTTTTGCATAGGG